TACCTTTTTTGTGCTACTGTCAGATGATGGGAAGGGAAGAGAAGGAGAGACAAAAGACATCATCTGAACAGATGAGTCTCTCAACTTACACAGTAGAGAGGAAGGAGTGGAGTGGGAGAGCTCAGACTCAAGCGAATGACTCTCTGAGTTTGCATTTTTCGTGGACTTGCCCGCTGAATTGATGGAAAGAAACACAACATATGAACAAACAAAGATGAAGAGGTAGAGTGTGATCAGAGTCCTCAGCAGGCACCGGCAGCAGGAGCGGCCGCTGGGGCACGGCAAGGGTGGTGACCAGTGAGATGAAGAAGCAATGGAAGAGGAGGAGTGGTGGGTGGAACATAACCTCTCCATGTCACCCTCCTTTGTGAGAGCTGTATGAGGGTCAAGCAGATGTGAAGGAAGAAAAAGAGAAGGCCAAAAGAAAAATAACGATAATTTAATTACAAGCAACAAGAACTTATAAAATCTTTGAGCACACAAACAATGTCAATGATGTACTTTTGGGAGGCAGTGTGGGTGCCAAAGAACAGTTGTAAAGGTTGTAGCCATAAATGACTCTGTTCAGATGCCAGCGCAGATTTATCCCTCTATTCAGGACCAAGATATCCAGGGTTTTGAAAGAGCTTTTATAAAAATGTTCTTAGAAATTTAAAGATTTTTCTTCAGGGAAGTATGTTCCAAATGGATTAGTTTAAATTGGTTTCCTTCTACTGTTAAACAAAATAAAAACAACAGGTATAAAATGAAATAAATTAGCAAAATAGACGAAAATACATGCCTCCTGAATGGTGAATGTTTTGAAGTGATCTACAGATGTATTAAGTAGCACAGATTAGCCAGAATTTACCTAATCTACACTCAGCAATTTTTCCCATCGGGAATCATCATTCTTACTAGTGCTTTCATTAATTCATTTCCAGGGGCAAAAAAATATCATGAGAAACCTAGGTTTCCTGACCATGATAAATTTAACAACTCAGCTTTATAAGTCTGTGTGCACTGCTGGCAAAAATAACGATGGTATTCTACAGCATTACTGAAAAAAACCTATCAATCTCATATCAAAGAGATGCTGCCAAAGAGTTCCAGCCTCATTACTACAGGAAGGAGAAATCCCACAAGCAATCCCAGAAGAAGGCATTGCCTACAGTCCAGTTTTCAGTACGTTGTTTCCGTCCACTCCTGTCCTTATACTTAGGAGTGATCACCATCATGCAGATAAGCCCACGAGCAACGGTTAACGTCAGGAATTTATGTTAGCAAGGAACCTGAACTACAGCTTCAAGTAATTTCAGACTCAAATTCTATAATTGGCTTATTCCTTAAATTATTAAAGCTCACTGTTGTTTGTCAAGCACTTTTTCTAGTAAAAGAAGTATGTTCCAGTCCTAAAAGATGTACATGCATAAGCAAGACAGTTACAGACACTAAGATTTTCAATAAATAACAAATTAGAAGTCTGATTTTACTGTCCTCAAGTTAAAATACCTGCCTTCAGAAGTGAAAATAGGGTGAGATCCTGACATGAGAGGAGAATACTGTATGCATTCCTTGATAGATATGAGGTAAGAATATGTTCCTAAAGGCACGTTTGTGATAGCTGATATAAGACTTTTTTTAAGTGCTACCTTTCCTTAATGAATCGTAACATTTGTAATACTTTGTACAGACATCCACATGCACATACACTCCCACAGGGCACACAAAAACACAACTGTGCTGGAGATACTATATCCCACACAGCCTCACATGATTCATACAACCTTAACACAACCTTAAAGAGTCAAATCAATAAAAAGTAAGAAACCACTTGGTGCAGAGCTGAACATTTTAAATACGTGTGGGCTAGTAGTCTGCACAAAGGAAGGAACCCTGTACCTGTTTATGCAAACTATGCACAGTGTTAGAATAACAAGCAGAGGAATAAAATGCATAAATTGCACGTCTTTGCGAAGAAGAGTCATTCTCTGTGGGGTGTGGGTCATACTGCAATACTATAAAACATGTTCTAATACTACATTTCAGTTACAGAGTGGCATCCTCATTTCCCTTCTCCTTCACAGGAAGGAGAGAGCCTCTTCCCATGTTGTAGTCCATGCTGCGAAGAAAAGCAAAAAGATTTTTAAGGTCCTTTATCACCTAAGGTGGGAAACATTCCTTCTAGATCTCAAATTTGATGACAAACACCATCATGAGCATACACATAAGGACCCAGACAGTCAGTAATCTGAGAGAATTCTCTCTGCTTCCTCCAAAATGCATTCGTCCCTATCAGTATCTTATCTCCAGCTGCAGCCAGTTCCTGACAAGAGAACAGCTTTCTCACTGTTGTCATAGAAAATCTACATCCAGAAGTCAAGTTGGTGTAGGAGGAAAGTATCTTTCCTAAGTGCCTTGCTAAAGCATGAAGCTTGAGCTTATAATAGCTGTCAGGGTGGCAGGACTGCTATTCCCTGAATCATTCTAGAAATTAGACCCTAGGGGTGCTGTTAGCTTTCATTTATAATAAAACAATCTGAAAAGCAGCCTCTGGTGGAAAGACTGGAAGTGTGAGAGGAATACTAAAAAGTGAGAAACAAGCAAGCTTGCAAGCAATTAATAACAGGGAGATTATAGTTGTTTTTTAAATAAACAGAAAATGAAATCACAATACACTGGAATAAAATGTGCACCTGGTGTCTGGTGAACACGGTAGCGGTACCGCCGGTTGTTAGGCCATGGACCTGATGCTGAAACAGCTGCATCAGTGTATGAGGTTATCGCGATCATTCCAGAACGTCAGCAGTTCAAACTGTCATTCTCGGTGGGGAGAAAGCATCCCACCTTCGCACCAAAGCAGGTGAAGAGCAATACAACACTACTCTGCCTCCTCTTCTGTAAGCACAGTTAACATCTTTCGGCTAGCTCCTCCTTCTGCAGCCTCCCGAAAATACCCAACACGACACTCTCTCTGGAGTGCAGCCTCAGCTCATCTTACTGGCTCATCCAATTTATGCCCTTTGTATCGCTATCGTGTAGCAACAGGTCAGGAAACGGAAAACTTCATCTGCCAAACATTTTACATCTGTCACTAAGCTACAGCAAAGAGGAGGACACAGCTACCATCTCGTGTCTCAGACGTGTGATTACTGCAAGATCCTCTTTTCTGTTTGGGGAATAAAGTGCATCGTGGCCATCCAATCTGCTCTGAACTGTGATACTACAGAATCATATAAAAGAATTAGGCAAAAAAATTTCATTGTTTTTTTCTTATAATCGTATTCCTGAGATACAATTCTGCGCGCTAAGCTTCAGACAGAATTTTATAAAAATCCTACTGTTATAACATCATGTTAAATCATCACACAGAGGCCCTATAATTAAATTATTCATTTCACGAGGTTAGTTGCTAAACTACACATAATGGTTTGAAGGAAGAAACGCAAAGTGTTATGAATAAAGATAAATTACACTGTATTTTCCTCTGCATCAGCTGCAGATACCTGTAATTGTTCTCCAAGCCATTACTTCGCATTAACTCAAACCACTATCACTAGGTTGTTATTTAAAGTGAGCGGGTACTGGCTGTTAATGCACCCAAGACCTTGCTCAAGAAGAGGTTAAATGATTCACTGAAACTTTGAGAACAAAGTGCTGACATCAGTGACTTAATTAGCGCTAACTGCACCTCACACAGCACTGTAAGTCACAATTTACAGCTGCGCTGCTACTAGCAGACAGAAAATCTTCTCTCCACCGAGGGAACACCAACTATGCAAAAGTAGAGAAAATTACCGCAGCACAGCAGACTGGAGATACTAGCCCGTATACCAGCTGAGCTCCTCAGCCTTTCCAAAAGCAGCGTGAAGAGCAGCAGCAGAAACAAGAGGCTGGGCTCTGCCACAGGCTTGCTCTGCTTTCCTGTGCAAGCCGGAGTTAAGCTGCCATGACTTAAATGCCTGATGAACCTCATATGAAGCATAATATAAAATCTGCATTTTCAACACCACGCTCCTTGGACAGCCACTACCAGCAGACTGTGCTTTCATGTTTACGCTATCAATTCATTACCCTGGCAATACTGGTATTTTCATCAAACATGCACAGCTCCTGTTCTACCAGTCAGAAACTAAGCACTAGATATTTTTGATACAATTCTAACTAATTTATGTTTGAACCTCTTTAAATTCTACAATGTTCCCATGCTCTTCAGAGGCCAGCAAAGCTCTTTAGCAGATTTACTTTGTATTTTAGGGCACAACTTTGCTAATACACGCTTTTAACAGCGACTTAGGCATTATACTACTTCCAACATAAAGCAAAGCCCATATTACAATGGTTTCGCCACATTTTATCTCTGGCTTGCGTTTCACCTGTACGTGTAACATTGTTCTTTTTTAAAAACCCTTTGTTTTAAAACACGATGTTATTAAAGTAAGGATGAGTAACATCACAGTATAATATTTAAAGGGGAAAAAATGGAAACAAAAACAATACCTGTGAAGTTACAGAACTAACTTTATAAAAAAATTATTGATTCTAGTTTTTTTTCAAGAATAAAAGAAGATTAAATAAGTGTATGGACAGAACAAAAGAGAAACATGAAAAAACACTGGCATCTGAACAGAATAAAAATTAAAACAGTGACATAAAACAGCAAACCCAAAACACAAATGCATGCTAAAGTACATAAACTAAGTAAGAGTTACAAAGCACTGAGTTACACATTTTTAATCTACTACTATTATTACTGGAACTAATATCTTAATTAATAAGCAGTAATTTTATTTTCTTCATTCCAAAACATCATGGCAAATGGTGTTTTGGGAAATGAAAAATCAAAGGTAAGTCTGAAACATCTCAAAAGTAATGCAGAAGAGGACAATATTTTTTAAACACGGAAAAATGGTATTCTCTCTTAAGATTCATTAGGAGTTTCTGTGTTTAATGACCTAATGAAACACATTCACGTAACTCATGTTATTGCTTCTCCAAACATTTCAAGCTCAAAATCATACCTTTCACATCCTCATCTTCAATGGTTGTATTGGAACTCTCTGTTGACTCCTGTTGGGAAGTAAATATATGCAGAATGTATAAAACAAGCCAAGCCGTATTTGCGTGCCTTTGAAAATTACAGTTAGTTACAGGTATCATGCAAACACTTGAAGCAGGGTGGGATGTAATTCACAAACAAATGGCCACACACTGATTAAGACGTTTCCACCTGAAACTGATGTCAAACATTGCCATTCTCTACAGTAGGGAACATAAATACATTTCCTGCTGTCTAATGCTTTTACTTCACAGGAATGTAATGGAAACTTTTTTCTTTAACATCCAACTGTACAAAGTCCATCTGAAACATTATATGAATTACCTCAGCCAAGTAGGAGAGCTTGCCATTTTAAGCTTAGTGATTAAACCAACTGTGCAAAATAAGTCATTCCACTCCTACTTTTGAATAGGCAGACTTCTGCATGCTACAATTTACAACTGTTTTTCTGCTCATATGACTGATGCAATGTATAATAAAACAAAGTATCCCAGTGATTTTAAGTATATTGGATCAGACTGTGTAATTTTTATACTGTTTCTGTGATCAAAAATTTTTTTTAAGGAGATGGGGAATTGATAAATAAATGACTTTGACAAACTAAGGTATGTTTGTAGTAGTATTCTTCAAACAACCGGTCATGTAGAGGAATGACTCATCTATCAGACAGTTTATACTTCAGCCACCACACTGTTAAAAAGGCAAGGACACTGTACCTCAGTCTTTCATGAATTACCAGAAACATGAAATATTATGGGCAAATTCAACAGGGCACTGTCAAACTGAATAGGTACACAGTTTTAGAAAGCTGGAAAGTTTTTAAACTTGATTTTTTTTGGTCTGTATATTTTCCTGAAAAGTAGAATCAATATATATATACTTATTGTTTTTTTCATTCACAAATCAATAGTAAAAAGGATAACTGGTCTATTTTTATCTGAGAGATAGAAGATAGGACTGGTATTGTATTCAACTCTTAAAAAGATTTTACAATTAAATCATAAAAGGTAGATTTGACAGTGCCCTTTATTCACTCTGTCCTTACAAGGCTGAGCCAAAGGAATGTTCAAAATGGTTAATGCATTACTCAGAACTTAAAAAACCAGAACGTATGTGCATCCATAAATAAAACCACATGAATTAATTCACACACACACAAAACTGAACAAGTCACCATGCTTTTCCTGAGCTGGCTGGTGTTAGACGTTTCACTCTACACAGATGTATCATGCTCTAATAACTTAAAATATTAGATAAAGTACTTATAAGTAAACAAAACCCCCACACAAATACAAGTTGTAAACACCATGCACAAGCTCACACGGCAGATGTAGCCTGTAATACTGAAGCATCCACTCCAGTTGCCATACTACAACGATCAGTCTTTCAGACAAATTTAGGAGTAACTCTCCACATGAAGTGGTTTGCTTGTTTGCTGTGACCTTTTGGGACATTGAGTATCTTAATTGCTAAGATTATATAATGAAGCCAAGTAGATGTAGTCATGCCAATATTTTATCTGGGTTTTCTGGTCTTTAGTGGACTTCAGCGATATAGATTAGACTAGTGTTCAAACACAGGCTGTTTGTTGCCTATGAGTTTAAACTCAGGGAGCTGAAAAAGTAGTAACATGAAAATAAAAGCTCTACGTTCGACAGAGGCGAGGTACATAAAGGAATGGGATATACAAGCACAATACACACCGTCAGCACTTTCATGCTTGAGAAACGTCTGCATGCGTTATTTTTTCACTCAGATTCAATCCTTCTCATATGAAATAACCACAAGTAGTTAAGACTAGATAAATGAAATGTCAATTCTTTAAGTCAACACTGTAAACAGTGAAATTTTTGTTGAAGAGTAAATTCTTTCCAGGAAACCTAGGAACATGTGTTATATGTAAATGATGATATTTCCTGGCCCTTTTCAAGTCCATGCATGAAAAAAACAAAACAAAACACATTTTAGGAATCAGCTGCCAAATGCAAACATCACAATACACAAGAAAAAGAAAAGAGCATGAAGAAAACGTATAAAAATCAAGACCTCGTTGTCACTTGAAATGTTAAAATTTTTTTGAAACTGCTCAGTGATGTTATGGAAAAAAAAACCCAAAGTCCTGTGCAAAAGACACGTCACAACGTGATGTATAAGCATGCTGAGAAACAGCAGATGGAATAAACTTAAATGACGTCTTTATCTAAGGTGACAACTGCACATAAAACTCGTCAGTATAATCTCACCACGCTCTGAGAACAGAGTTCTTTGGTTTTACTTAGACTGCAGCATTTTTGGCTGAAACGACAGACACACCACACTCCCCAAGCCTGGCTGCACAGGGTACTGAACTCTGCCAATTGCTTCAGAAGCTCAGCAATCAGCAGGACACGTGTAGCAGATGAACACACATGAAAACAGGCTCAAGAGACACCAGGTGGAACAAATGTAGGAATGAGATTTTCCTTGATAAATTCCTGGAATGGCCCTATTCTGCTGTGGAAGAGTGGATGAAATGTGTGGTGTGGAAAAGCAAAATGGAGTTGATTCTTTCTGAATACCTTATTTCCATCAGGGTTGTGGATTACTGTAGTTTGGGGCTCCTGAGCGAGAACAAAATAAAGAGAAAAACAGTTCCCATTGGTAAATACGTTCTCATTAGTGTGAGGGAGTGCAAGAAGAGCCAGCTCACAAATGCTGAACACTGACAAGAGCTAAAACAAATGTTAACTGTTGCCAGAGGGTGAAACTGGATGTCTCAAATACAGATTTCCTTAACAGCAAGCCAGCAAAAAAGACCACCTCACTTAATGCAGCAGCATGCAGAGACCTTATTCATGACCAATGTGTACAGGGCTTTGAAGCTCTGGAGACCTACAGAGGCTCTCTTTTGCACAAGGGCATACTAAATGTGTTGCGTGTTTTCCTGTCCAAGCCAGGCCAGACAAGAAGGCCAGAAAACACATCTTTTCTTTAAGCACGTTTGCTTGTATTAGGACTAAGTGATCAAATCAAATACAGATGAATCGGTAAGGATTAAGGACAAGATAACTAGCTCTAAACGCTACCATGTTTTGGAAGACGTAGGTTACTACCAATTGCTGCCCTGGCAGAGCAGCATAAAAGCAAGCGAAAGCGATCTTTGTGTCATTTTAAAGTGTAATTTCCCCAAATCCTCTTCCCTTAAAAAAAAAAAGACTGAAATGGCAGTTAGCCAGCATACTTTCAGCAAGGACTATTGTGCATGGCTATGTCTGGGAACAGACTGCCATATACTCAAGCATGAAAGCCGTCAACTGGTCCTTAGAAATTACATAGCAATGTATGCTTCAGTGCCAGTTGCACAAAAAAACTCAAGAGGAAAAATCTCTCCCAATGTGTGTGAATTATCCGCATTTTCAAAGCTATATATGCAGGCATAGCAGAAACAATACTTCACAAAATTAGGTACTTATGCACTGGCATTTATGTTTGTCAGCCCTCTGATACATGTATGCCTAAGGAATAGGAGCTACTAATAAAAGCAAGACTGCAATAGAAACATTCATGAACAGCACGCCAATTAGTAATATGTTCCTAACAGACCTTATTAATGAGTAATGTCTCCTGCAGATTTAAATGTAAGAGAAACAAGCAAAAATGCTTAGCACTAGATGCCTCTTGATCCCCGAGAAGACTTGCAAAGTCCTGCTGAGTTTTAGGAAATATGGAATGAAAATCTGAATAAGGTCTATTTTATGGTAGCCTAGCAATAATCCTGTTAGCTCTCCTCGACATCAATACTTATACTAAGACAGAGCAGAGAAAATAATAGAGCTGCCTTTTTTTTTTTTTCTTTTTTGTGCAAAAGGTTAGCATTAAAAAGATGGAAACAGTCATCAGGCAAAGAGCTAAGAGCAACATAAAGCGCATTCTATTCACTTTCTGGCACAGCATGCAAAAAATTCAACTACAGTTACAAAGGCTATGACTCTACCGCATCCAGCTTCCATGTAACTTTTTATATGAATAAACACGCTCTAATGGACTTCCTCACAAAAAAAAAGAAAGCATAATTCAAACAAAAAGTTTTTCCAAAACCTGTTTTTAGAAAGCAAACAGAGTAAATGCATGAAAAAGCAAAAAAGAAGGAAGAACAAACAGAAGACAGTCAAAAACTTCAAGATAGCATGAGAAGGAAGATTCCAGGTATACCAGCGCCGGGGTAGGAATATTTTCCTTGGGGCTGGTTACCACGTTCGTTTTGTTGTTTATCTGTAGGTATGCAGAAAATAGAAACAGACAGGCCTTAGAACTCGCGGTAGGCACCGTATCTATATCTCTCTGTATAGAACATCTATATACAGATATAGATATCTATATATAGATATAGATATGGAAATAAAGAATCACAGAAAGATGAACTTATGAACTTGAAAGAACACTAACAATAGGTCCGATAGCTAGCTTAGCTGCAACTCCTCCAAACATGCTAGCTACGGGCTTTCAGATGCACTATATGAAGGTCTATGTAAGGTATAGATGACTTCAGCTGTGACACTTAAAAAGAACAGAGCGCCTTTATGTAGCAGCTAATCACATATAAGAAAAATAAAGAATTAATATGGGTTTGAAGAAAGTCCTAAATAGCCATTACGATTTCTTGACAGGAGACAGTATTATTAATATGTGATTATTCATAGCTCTCCAGAAATCTACAGATTTGTTCTACTGGCTTCTGGGAACAGATTTGAATAAATATAACTTGATTCCAGATCTGAATAAATACAACTGATGCTCGAAAGAGACTGGTGCCCCTTTAGCTTTTTTGGTGTTATTTTAGACAAAAATAATTGGCAGCTGTGATTTTTTGCACTCTCAAGAATCCTGCAGTAACTGTGTATCAGCCTTTCAATTTTGGTACTATAACTTGAAAATGTAACATTTCACACTTTAGTTATCTGTAGTCTTACACCACAAATCAGTACGTATCTGCTTAGCTTTACATGTAGGTCATCACGTTAATTCTTAAGCT